TTTTTTTTTAGAATGAAACAGGCTATCGGAAATAAATTTTTAAATGGTAAAAAAATAATAAGACAAAAAATTACGTTGGAAATAAATTTTAGGGGTTGCGTTTTCCACCCCTTACAACCATGGGGTAAACCAAATAAATTACTGGCTAAGTGTCTTTTTGGTAGTAGAAAATGTCAGGTTAATTTCAATATTGTAACTTGTTTAGTGCTTGTGAAAAAAATTGTTAAACAAATTTTATGTACCCCCTTTAAGGGGCTGTATCTTAACAAGGGATGCTCCAATGAAGTTTCTTTATATGAAAGATCCTATCTTTTTTTCGATGAGGAATCACCCCCTTAAATGTTTTACATTTATTTAGTTACACCCTGTATATGCCACGATTTCGTCAGTTTTGTTCTTTAGTGACGTCACCACATGCGCGCGGACACCATGTGGTTAGAGTGCCCCTGTATTGATACATACTCTCTCCATACTTCTTATATAGCTTCATTAGGCCTAGTCTGACACCTTTTTCCTCTGACTTTTTTCAATTTTGGGTGTTTTCCCTCTAATTTTTCCGAAACACGTCGTTTTGACGACATATGAAAAATTTATAGATACTGTTTTTTTTTAATTTTTTTAATTTGAATTGAATTAAAAACTCCAAATGAAACGTGAAAATAAAATTCTCTGACAAATGATATGAGCCGTTCAAAATGTCTGCAACCTCGAACATGTCAGAAAAACTACTATAAAAAAATTTATTGATAACCAGCTGATTTTCTCAAGATCCTATCTTTAAGAACTGCAAAAACAAATTTTCATATTGTCTGACGAAAATTATTTTCCGATTTTCCAGTCTGACGCGTCAAAGTTGTCGATTTCATGAGTACCTACAAAAAATTTATTAACAGTTTGTTTCAACATTTTTTGGTTTTTAAATTGAATGATAAAAAAATTGTCTGATACTGAAACAGAGCCTTTTACATACTAAATAAAATAATTTTTAATTTAGTTTTCTAGCTACGCTTGGACCTTGCGTTCGCAAGTATAAATCGAGACCATTTTTATTAATAACCAGCTGGTTTTTTCACCATAGCTTAATTAAAATAAATAGAATATAATTTTTTAATTGTCTGATAAAACGTATTTTCCAATTTTTCAGTCTGATGCAAGAAATACAATTTTTTAATATTTGTAATCGACAATTGTGACTGTGACGCGTCAGAGTGGAAAACCGGAAAATAATTTTCGTCAGAAAATTTGAAAAGCCGTTTTGCAGTTCTTAAAGATAGGATCTTGAGAAAATCAGCTGGTTAACAAATTTTTTTATAGTAGTTTTTCTGACATGTTCGAGGTTGCAGACATATTGAAGGACTCATATCTTTTGTCAGAGAATTTTACTTTCACGTTTCATTTGAAGTTTTTAAGCTATTCAATTAAAAAAAACAGTATCTATAAATTTTTCATATATCGTCAAAACGACGTGTTTCGGAAAAATTAGAGGGAAAACGCCCCAAAATTGAAAAAAGTCACACAGGAAAAAGGTGTCAGGCTAGGCCTAATGAAGCTATATAAGAAATTTGGAGAGAGATTATGATGAATTTGACTGTTACTGTCTGTGTTTGTGCAGATGTATTTAATTTAAACATATTACTAATTTCTTGTTTAACATTTAAACAATTTTGTAAATATTTAAATACTATTATTTAATAACTCATGGTCTATACAACATTTACCTTATTAATAATGTTAATTACATATAAGTAATTAAATTTCTAAAAATGAAAAATCCTAAATATGAAGAGCTCAACGGTCAATAAAAAAAATGCTTATGGCAGCAATAGCAATACTCTTTTGGATGTTCCTAACAGAATTCAGTAGACGGATAACAATATAACCTCACTTTTGAGGTCTCATTATTTTCATCTGTTTCTGGCATTGATTTACTGATAAAATCACCTAACAGCAGAGCAATGTATAGAAATATTTCTAAAATTCGGTAGGACATCACCAAATTTTTAATTTCACGAACCCCATATATTTTGCAAGTTAAATTATAATGTATAAGTATTTCTTACCTTGCTCTTAACCAAACCTTTAAGCTTTTCTATGACTTCATTCACTTTGATCATTTTTTTAAACGATCTTGAAATAGCAATTAAGAAATGTCATAATCACTGACAAAATAAAAAACAGTAAATGTCAATCTACAAAGCGGTTGTCTAGCTTACGGTGAAATATGGTACTAAGCTAGCATTTGTTCTATAAGCTAATACGCCAGTGCGCCTACGATTCGAAAACGGAAAGAAAACTACAACAAAACGGAGACTGTGAGATTCCTCAAATTCTGTGGGATCGACTACTAAAAATTAGTTTTAGTTTTTTTTTCAGTGTTTGAGTTAATTTTAATTTTTGGTATACCTAATGTATTACTCAAGATAACAGACTTTTGAAGTTAGAATTTCAAAAATACGATATAGTAGGTAATTCCCAATTTTTATGACCACTCAAAGAAATTCTAACAGTGTGTTTTTGTAGTATTTCATAAAATATTTTGAAAGGACATGAACCGGTGACAAAAACCATGGATGTGGTTTTGCTGTTGCACTTTCTTTACTGCACTTTTGGATTAACAGTGAAATTTTGATAACAATTTGATTTAACTAGTTTTCCAATATTATTCTGAACTTTTTCAAAATGAAGAAATGTATTTTTATTTATCTGTTGTATCGGGAAAATTCCTTTATATATTTGTACAAAATAACTGAAAAAATAAGTTCTGCTATTATAAATACTAAAAATATGTTTTTTCTAACCCAACAAAAAGCAAAAAGACACTTAAAATATTTTTCTCAATGAAAAGAAAAATAATTTTACTATCAATAATTGTAACAAACAAATCTGCAGTTAGAGAAATTATTTTACAAATTAATTAACCTTGTATACGAAATAGAACTTAATTATTTAATCTACAGAAAAATTGTACAGGCAAAATATTTCTAATGTGATAAACAGAGTAAATGTTTTGCCATTAGGAACGATGTCTTAATTTTGTGTATAAAATTACAGCAAAAAGTCGCAGTACTACTAATTTCGAATTGAGTTTCAAAAGTGCGATAAAGCTGTACATATATTAAATATAATTTATTATTTAAAAAAATATACATGGCCACTATAAAATTTCTGTCTTTATTTTAATCAGCTAGAATTAAAAAATATACTACCTTCAAAAAATTAAAAATATATTTAAAAATCTCAAGTAAAAAATAAATGGACCTGCATTAAAAAAAATTTTAAAAGCTCTTTTTGTTTAATCGGGGATCTATTTCGATGTGGTAATGCAAATTTGGCCTAAATAAATAAATCTATTTTAAATTGTGGCCGAACTTCACTGAATTATATAACAATTTTTCAAGCGTGATTGGAAAAAAATTAAACGAAAATTTGAGAAATAAAAAATTTGGTAGAAGAAAACTATACCGTTAAATGAAAATTAAAAGAGACTGNTTTTTATTTATCTGTTGTATCGGGAAAATTCCTTTATATATTTGTACAAAATAACTGAAAAAATAAGTTCTGCTATTATAAATACTAAAAATATGTTTTTTCTAACCCAACAAAAAGCAAAAAGACACTTAAAATATTTTTCTCAATGAAAAGAAAAATAATTTTACTATCAATAATTGTAACAAACAAATCTGCAGTTAGAGAAATTATATTACAAATTAATTAACGTTGTATACGAAATAGAACTTAATTATTTAATCTACAGAAAAATTGTACAGGCAAAATATTTCTAATGTGATAAACAGAGTAAATGTTTTGCCATTAGGAACGATGTCTTCATTTTGTGTATAAAATTACAGCAAAAAGTCGCAGTACTACTAATTTCGAATTGAGTTTCAAAAGTGCGATAAAGCTGTACATATATTAAATATAATTTATTATTTAAAAAAATATACATGGCCACTATAAAATTTCTGTCTTTATTTTAATCAGCTAGAATTAAAAAATATACTACCTTCAAAAAATTAAAAATATATTTAAAAATCTCAAGTAAAAATAAATGGACCTTCATTAAAAAAAAAATTTTAAAGTTCTTTTTGTTTAATCGGGGATCTATTTCGATGTGGTAATTCAAATTTGGCCAAAATAAATAAATCTATTTTAAATTGTGGCCGAACTCCACTGAATTATATGACAAAAATTTGAGAAATAAAAAATTTGGTAGAAGAAAACTATACCGTTAAATGAAAATTAAAAGAGACTGCGGTTAAAAATAATAATAAAATAGAAAAGAATATTATAATAAATAATATATAACATCCCTAACAATGGAAACAAGCAAAAATACACTGTGAAAAATAATTAAAAACAAAGTTATTATCAGTTCAGAAATTGAATATAGTGAAGGGTATTTTACATTTGTCTGCTCTCTTTCGTTAGGCAAAACTATTTTTGACTGATTCTCTTGTCTAGGTGCAAAGAATTATTTGATTATTTTTTAAATTTTGTTCACAGATGACAAATGCGTATATGCAGCGTAGAATTTAAGGCACTTAAGTAGCATTTTACTGAAAAAAATTACTTCATCTTCGCAAGTAAAAGGTAATAATTGTTATTGTAATATCAAACAAACTACCCGATATTTAAAGAAGGGTCCAAGAAACCTTTCAATTGGTCAGAACGGCTGATTTTTAAAAAGAGTCAATTTCAATTTTTTTTTTATATAAAAAAACAAATGAATAGGAATATTGCTTCCTTAGTGATACGTTGATAAGCATTAAAGTGTGCACTATTTCCGTCCGTTTAACCTTTTCTGTATATCTACTCGTAATAGCTTCCATGATAAATGTTGGGTAGTGAAATAGAAATATTAATATCTCTGCAACACTTTACCGCAGAAGAACCAAATTTGGTACATGATTTAGGTTTATTACTGGTCTTCTTTAAGTATGATTTAAAGTTAATTGAAGCACAATAAGGTGTTAACTGGGGATGACTCACCCCTAAAATTATACCGAACTTTTTTTTCATTGACCGAATTGAGAATTTAATTTAAAATTTTTTTACTCTTGTTAAATTTTAAAAAACTTTATGGTTTTCAAGAAAAACGGAATTAACTGAAACAAGATTTTAAAACTGTTTATTAGAAAATTATCTAAAAGTCAGTAGTAGGCAACGAATTTATCTTTGAAACTTGTCAGTTAGTAATAAAATTATTTTATTTCAACAATTGCCTCTGATTGTCGTTGAAAAAATATCAATTATTATTTTTACTGTTTTTTACTTACCTACCTAAAACTACCTGGGTACTTGTTTTTCTTTTTTGTAGAATTAGGAGGGAAGTGAAGTAAAATTTATTTGGCCAATTGTCAAATTTGAAAGATAGAGCCTACTACTGACTTTTTGATTATTTTCTAATGAACACTGTTAAAATCTTGTGTCAGTTAATACTAGGCCAAGAAAATAAAATTCCTATCCGCGAGATACAAGACATCTCTCATCTCGTGAGTCAAAAAATTTTATTAGCTAACTTTTCTATTTAAACAAATAAGTGAGGAAAACAGTTTTTTCACTTTGCAGGGAAAACCATCAATTTTAGCGAAAAGTGACTTTGAGACAGCTTGTAGGGAATAAAATTATCTACAAAGTGAGACTTGTTAAATTAAAATCGGTTAATAAACAAAAAAGTTATTGCAAAAAAACAAGAAAAGTGCCCATTTTTTAATTTGTTTATAACTATCGCATTTATTGTCAAGGTGAGGTTTTTGTCATATTTTAAAAGTGTGCCAAAAGTGGGAGCTGTAGGTGCAATAGTTTTCGCACAATTCAATTTGTTTATAACGGAGGCTCCAAAAGTAATGAACTTTAAGCCTCTGTACAAGATATAATTTTCAACCAAACATGATTCTGAAAGCTTCATTGTAATCTTAAAGACGTAATTAAACGACCTATTAAAAAATATCACCGTTTTTTTGACAGTAACATTCTCAAATTGCGCAATTAAAAAACCGTGCATTTTTCGCTAATAAACAATTTGAATAAAATTGTTGCTATTTATGCTACATCACCTAAAATAAATGCAAAGGATAGCTGGCAAAAAAATACAAATTTTAAAAAAAAAGCACCCTCTACGACCAACAGGAGCCAAGATAAGAATTTTTTTTTAAATCGTAGCGCAATTGTTTATAAACATTAAGACTTGAATTTTTCGTAAAATAAAGTTTACGACGTAAACTACGGTTTCCCGTGAATTGCATTGAAAAATGTGGAACATTAACGACTCACGAGCCCTTTAAAGAGCTAAGTAAAATGTCCGGCGTGGTGATGGGGGAAGCTCGTCCAAGCGAGTCGCGTGCGCGAGAAAAATGAAATCCAGTTCAAATTGATGCGCGCTGTAAAATTTTGCAATATCTCGGCTTCTATTCATCGTAGAAACTTCTTTTTTTTTTAACCGGGGTAGCTCGACGAAAAAATAACAATGGGCATATTTACGAATTTGTAGAATAGCCAAAATGTCACAAAAATTATTGTTAAACGCAATATTAATTAAAATTTCAATTTCAGAATTATTTTACTATTATTAAATAAATAAATGAAGCTATCGTTCATTTAAAAAGTTATTTTTTTACATATTAAGCCACAGTAAATTTATTTTTTCAATATTTTGTTAGTTATTTAATTACGATTTAAATGTAAAATTAAGGTAAAAATTCACAAATTATTTTTATTGTTAAAAGATTTAAGAAAGAATAAAAAGCATTTGAATTTATTACAAAATTCTCAAAATTAAAAAATATTAATAAAAATAATGGTCGATAAAATTACAATTTTAACTTCTTGAAAGTTTTTTTATTATATTTATTACTAATTTTATACAAAAAAAATTTGCAACATAATCAAAATTAATTCAAAAAATATTTATCACAACTATTTTCAATAATAGATATAATGCAATACTTTATAATACAACAATTTAAAATTTAATTTTTTTTTATTTTTATGAAAAATAACTTTTTAAATGAACGATAGCTTCATTTATTTTTTTAATAATAGTACCTAAAATAATTCCGAAATTGGAATTTTAATTAATACTTCGTTTAACAATAATTTTTGTGAAATTTTTACG